GGGCTCGAGGGCCTCGCTTAGCCGGGCCACTGGTTCCGCCCACTCAAGCTCCGCCCCCTGACGCTGCACGCGCGTGCGCAGGAGGCTCGCGCGCCTTTTCCAGGTCCTCGCCCGCCGTTTGTGCAGGCGCGGTGGGTGGCGAGCCGGGGCGAAGCGGGGTTCGCTCCCAGGAGCGCGGCCGTCGGAGGCCCGCCGTTTCGCCTGGTGCGCTGCCATTTCAGCGAGGGACTGCTGCTTCCTTGGCCAGGGTCTTCTCACCTGTCCCGTGAGTGCGGCAGAACCGGCCACTCCGAAGGGCGAAGGGTGGCCTTGAGGGGAAAGGGCCTTGCCTCCGTTTGCGACGCCCGACTGAGGGAACTGCGGTNTTTTTTTTTGCCCTGAGTGGGATCCTTTCCGCGCCGAAAACGGATTTTCTTAAGGTATCAGTTGGGTCTAAGGCCAGGGAGAAAGAGCGAGCGAGCAGCTGTCCTGAGGCAGGAGGTGCGCGGTCGGGACCGGTGAGGACGGCCGGGCGCCTGCGGCGGCCAGCCCCTCGCACTGCAGCGTCCCCTTCTTTGGTCGGCATTACCAGTCAGGAGGGCCTCCCCTTGAAGAGAGTTGCCTCTTTTGCGCCAGAAAATGTCGCCTGAGGTTGGGTGGTGCAGAGGAGGATACCAGATTTTGGAGTCAAATGCAATACGTTGGCCCCAGGCCCAGTTCAGCCGCCTCCCCTCCTAGCTCTGTGGTCTTGGTCCTTGCTCGTCTCTGAAGCTTGGTTTGCACATCTGTACAGTGGGGTGAGAGATGAAGAATGGGCGCTGAGCGCTGGGGGAGGGGGGCAGCTTCCCAGGAAGAGCCTTGGGCGTTGGTCTCCTTCTAGAGGCTGTGGTTAGACACCCTCGGGGGAAGCTGGAAACTTGCCAGGAACTTTTCCAAGGAAGGGGAAGTTCTTGACCTTCTGGAACAGTATCTCTCTATTTTTTTAAAAAAATTTTTTAATCCTCACCTGAGGATATTTTTTCATTGCTTTTCAGA